GGGTGGGGAGTGTGCGCGCGGGGGAGGAGGATGGGATCGTCGGGGGTCGGAAGCGGGATCGGGTGGGGAGTTTTGTGCGCCGGGGGGGGGAGAAGAAGAAGAAGAAGAAGAAGAAGAAGAAAAAGAAGAAGAAGAAGATAAAAGAAAAGAAACGAGGAAGAAAAAAAATAATAATAATAAGAAGGAGAAAAAAATAAAAAAATAAAATTGTCGTTGATTACTTAACTGCGCGACGGCGATGACAAGGACGGCGTGGCAGCGACGAGGACGACGGGCGTGGTGGTGATGACGTGGCGCGACGGCGGCGATCCCGTCCGAGACGATGATGACGGGGCACAATGACGATGATCACGATGATGACGATGATGACGTGGCACGGCAGCGACGATCTCGACGATGGTTGATGATGGCCAGGTGACGACGTCGAAGCAGGGTGGGTCGGGCGGGTTCGAACCGCTCCGATACCAGTGTAGCGAGCGTGAGGCTGAGGGTGAGCCGAGGGAGATGAGAGAGAGGGAGAGAGAGGGAGAGAGTGAGAGCACACACACACACTCACTCACTCGACACGACGGACTCGGACTGCGGGTCGGACGCAGACACAGTGGCAAGGCACAAAGTCGAAGTCTTGGATCCCGAATGCCGAAAACAGCAAGTCACACTGAGTACGAGTACAGCAGCAGAGAACTGGTACGCGACTGGTCGAGACTCCCCCCCTGTACCGTACGGGGAGCTGGTCATAAGTACCGGTGACACGTACGGTACCGGGGGCATTTATGCAAAGGCCCCGAGGGCAGAACTGAAAAATGCAGTATTTGAAAGTGGCGCCCGAATTGCAGCATGGCGCCAGTTGTCCAAAATCCTACGGTACCAAAAGGAGGGGTTTGGAAAAAGGGTGTCAGGCCGAAAACGGGATGCAGCCGAAACAGCAAAAGATAGACCAGGGATCGAGCCCTGGCGAAGTCCGTAACAAACAGCCGCTACCACCGGATCCAGAGGACTCCTGGGTTGAGGATCTGTCTCACACACTTCCTCTGGGGAGTGGATCTACGCAGGAGTGGACGGGCGGGTAGTGCCAGCAGAGGGAAGCAGGGACCACGCGCGAGTCGTTCACCACATTGCTGGAGGAGGGTGTCGACAATGCCGCCACGGAGCTTGTGGACTTGGATTTGGGATTGTGCAGCGGGAGTGGTGCAAGTGGTCCGATCTACGGCGGAGGGGTGGTGGGATCGCCAACGTTGGGAGGAGGATCGTCCCGTGTCGGTGGGCCGACGAATGGGTGTCGTCCACCGGTCCCGAGTTCCATGGGCGTCGGGCCACTTGGCGAGTCGTCAAGGGCAGTGACACCCATCCGGTCGTCGGTATCTTCACCTACAATGCGGCAGAGGGCGACCGCAAGTGCTGCAATCAATGATGGGACTCCACCGGAAGACATCGGGAGGCAGGCGTGGGAGAACTGCCGCCTACAGATGCGGCGTGCTGCCACGGAGAACATAACCACCAGTGTGTCCAGGCTTCATGTGGGGAGCGACGTGGATGCGGACAACGGCCGTCGGGCGAGTGGGGACGAGTCTCCGGATTCCCGTTACGAAGAGGACGCGGAAGACGGTGAGGGGCTGGAGATCCGACCCGTGGCTGCGCGTGGTGGRCRGAGGGGRGGACGCGRACGTSAGCAGAGGGGCRAGTCGCGTGGTGGYCGAGGATYGAGGGYTCCTGTGGGCGACAAGGGTGSCAAGCACCCAGCTTGGAGTGTGGAGGAGATGCTGAAGCTCGCTCGAGCGAAGCGGGATCAGCAAGCTCATTTCGAGGGAATGCCACACAACTACGGCCGCATGCGCAACAGGGAGTGGAAGCTGCTGGACCTGCAGAAGCGGCTGGCGGAGGTCGGAGTGGACAGGACAACGGACGACATAGGGAAGAAGTGGGACAACGTCTTCCAGCAGTACAAAAAGGTGCAGCGTTATCAGAACATGTCCGGTGGGAAGAAGTTCTTCACGTTAACTCCTGCAACGAGAGCGGGGGAGGGTTTCAACTTCCGAATGGATGAGCGAGTCTTCAATGAGTTCGACAACATGTCGAAAAATAACAAGACCATCTACCCGGACAACGTGGCAGACACGAGCGCACGCGGAGGAGTGCCGCCAGCAATGGATGGTCACCGCCAGGCGGCCGTTGGTGGAGAGTCCTCTGCTGGTGGAGAGGGGGGTGATGGCATTGACGAAGATGTGGGTTCAGCGCGGGAGACGGGGTTCAGTGCAGGGAGCACGGGCACTCCAGCGAAGAGGAAGAACATGCGGCAGCAGACCTTCGACGCCATCGCCGAAGTCATGAACAAACACGGTGCATTGATGGCGGACACGGTAGCGGGTGCGAGCAAACGGCAGTGTAGCATCCTGGAGTGGCAGTGTGACATCCTCGACCAGGAGGTTGAAGCCCAGAAGCGCCAGTGTGACATACTGGAGAGGTATTACACGGCGTCCGATGAGGCGAACAAGATGATGTGCACGATGTTGATGGAGATTGCCAGAGCGATAAGGGAAAGATCTTGACGCCGGTGGCATGAGGTTTGTCAAGCCGTTGAAGTGGATTCGCCCGCGATCTGGCCCATCGCGAAATGTGGCGCCGGTCCTCGGATGACGACAAAAATCTAGGATACAAGGCGGGGGATGGTGTGCGCGATGGCCGTGTACCCTCGCGCGCTTCAAAATGTCGAGTCGCTGGCTGTCATGGGCAGGGCCGTCCGTTTCTCGAACCGCATTGTCCCTTGGTATTTGGGGTGGTCTCCCCCCATGCGGAATGGGTGATCGTCGATGTCGTCGCATGGAGGGGTGTGCTGGAGGCCGTCCGGGCAGGATCTGTGCGCCGAGGGAAGGGAAATGCCGCAGCGAGCACGATAAAGGTCCGCGCGAGCGCGATCTTCTCCCAGTCTTTTGCTTCTCGACTGCGCGCAAAGCCACGCGTGGGGTTCCCGTTGTGCTGCGCGGGGAGCTGAACATCGCCCGCGCAAGACGATCCCTGGCGACTTCCTTTCGTGCACTGCGGCAGTCCGTTTTCGATCACGGGGCGTGCGCATCCGACCGTCAGCAAATGGCGCCACGTGGCCAGCAGAAGGCGAAATGTCCACACGGTGGTTACGGCGAAGCGAGTGCAGGGCAAACAGGAAGGGGCCACATCCCGAAGTCGAAGAAGCTCCGCACGGGAGACGGGTCGGAAGGAGAGATGGGGGGTGACGGGGGAGAGGAGGAGACGCCTATGGACATCACTTCGAAAGGGACGCCTGTGCTCGGGTTCGGGCATGACAATATGAGCAGGCAGCGTATGCTTGCGCTCACCAACCTTGGCGTCATGACGTCCACGCGCGGCGGCGGTGGCGAGACGGCTCGTGCGCAAGGAGTTTCGTCTAGTGACATTCCGCCGCAGAGGGCCGTGGGTTCTGCATCCACCATCGTATCCGTGAGCGTGGCGAAAAAGCTCCAGTAGGTGAGTCTCCATCGCGCCACGTGGAGGCGTCGAACCCGACGATCATTGCCGCTTCGCCGAGGGATGTGCTTCAATCCACACAAGCAGCGAGCGTTGCTGGCCAGGTCGCCGCCCTCGGTGTTGGAGAAAGGCGAGAAGATAGGAGGGTGGAAGAGGCGGGGAGAAAACAGGAGAGGAGGGAGGAGACTCCGCGCGGGGAAGAAGAGGACGACCAACCTCTGAGCGTGAGGAAGAAAAGGTCCTGCCAAGAGGAGGAGTTGGAGGCGAAATCGAAGCTGTGGGTAGACGACAAAGCGTTCTGGGCAACAGGCCTCGGACGGATGATCGCGGACGCGGTGCATTCCTGCGCAGACTACTTATGCGTGATCGTCAATGGAGATGCAGGCGCCAGCGCTCCGCAAGGCCTCATGATGCCGCCCCCCGAAGTCCCTCGCGTGCGGATCGAAGATGGCGTGCAACGAGAGCTAGCTCTCAGACGGGCGAGACGAACGGAGAACGTGGCAATGTGTGTCTTCCACGGGTGGATATTCAGGTCGTCTTCAAGGTTCGATGGTTTCGCCCGCGCGGAGTCCTACGTCGCCACAGATTACCCCACCGACCTGGCTAGTGCAGTTTGGCAGAACTTCGAGTGGTCGAGGATAGTGCCTCCCGCCGTAGTTTACCACACGGTCGCTTTGAAGATGGACATCCCAGTGTGGTTCGCCGGGGCATATATCGAGAATAGGCGGGAGGACGATGACATGGCCGCGCACCAGGTGGCGACTGTGATGCATCTTGCGTCATGCTTCCACGACGCGCTCCGGCCCGGGCAGTGGTGGGACGGTGGTAGATTGTCACACTAGAGACTGAGCAGAATCGGGGATGCTTTCCGCCTGCTTCTCGCCGCGTGCATGTGGATCATGCGCATGGGAGCCGACTCTCGTGGCGGCGTGTTCATCGGTTTTCAACTGGCGCCGCCATGTGATGCACTCGGCGAACGCGGTCTTGAGTCGCCTGCGGAAGCCACCGTTGACGCTGGGCGCTTTCCCTGACTACATCCCGGAGTGGGCTTCGTGCGGAGTGCGGTACAACTGCAACGCTGGTCTGGCGGACCCCGACGTGGCGGCGAGAGTGGACTGGATGGGGACGGGACCTTTTGAAGCCAATCGGAAGGAGGACGGGACATATGACGAAACGGGAGCGTAAGTGTCCTCCATATGGTCGTCTTGCGTGATAAGGAAGAAGGTATCGGCCATGTAGTGAAGCGGTCCGTCATCAAGGTTTCGATATGGCGGGAAATGGAAGTGCCGGATCGGCGGGGGGTGGATTGG